TTTTCTGAAGGGTTGATGGATTTTATCAACTTTTTAAAGGTATATTACCGCTCATATACCCCGAAGGGTTTATGAAAGTGCAACGTATAGCAAACCCTTGCCAAGGTTTATGAAAAAAAAAGGGTTTATGAGAGGATAGATTGCGTTCATAAACCTAAAAAGGGTTTATGACCACGGCATAAACCCTTTTTGAGGGTTTATTATTCTACGCCCATTTTTTTCAGTGTAGTGTACTCACATTTTGAGTACACACGAAATCAAGTCAACCCATTATTCTTGATTTTACAATAACAAATCTGATAACTTTCATAAACCCTTTTTATGGGTCTATATACAGGTTTATGATCTCCAAATACTCTTTCATAAACTCTTGAAAAGAGTACATGAGAGAGTTGATGAAAATAAGATACCCTTTCATAAACCCTTAAAAGGTTTATGATTCTATCCTTTTTTTTTACAGTGTATGCAACACCTTACATTCGGAAAAGCTCTTCATTGATATTTTTGAGCTTAAGATCTGTTGTGTTATTCATTTTTAGCATTGCTCATAACCTACAGCGCAAAAATAATTGCCGAAATGTCCAGGCATAGTTCTCTGCTTAGGAACATCTTGCAAAGGAAGTCTTTTTTTTCATCGAAAAGAGCAATATCTGAACTGTAAATTTTGTATCCGGCATATATTCCAGAATGAATCTGAGAATGAGGAAAAGCCAAAAAGCAAACATCTGTACAAAATTTTTTGCAACTCGGCTAGTGAGTAGTATCAGGTTTTCTTCCTATAATTTTTTTTTATTTTGAGAAATAATGAAAAAACACACTTTCAATGAGGATTTTTTGTAGCCTAAATGATGCTCTTTCTAATGATATATTGGAAGCTGTAGTTGCTCTTAGCCTTAATATCAGCATATTGCTTTTTCTCGAATAAACTGAATAATTTGGTTGTTCTTACTACCTGACCATTTTTAGCGGTAAAAACATATTCATTCAACTATTTTTGTCTCCTAAATTTCTATGACCGAAGTTCTTCAAATGCATAATGCGGAAAAAATCAGTTTCATATGTACTTTTTAGAAATGACGTCTAGTGATCTTTTCGACTGCTAGTCCTTGAAAAAAAAGTCTTTTTTTACAAAAGTTCTAATTTTATAATCTTTGTAATTAAAAATACAAGAATCGATGTGCAATCTTATTAAATGCTGCTGGCGATAGAGTCTTTGATGCGCTACATTTTGGTGTATTTTTTGTGAAAGTTTAGCACATGTGGTCTAAAATAATCGAGAAACACGTACTTTTAAGCTTCTAAAAAGTTGCAACGATGTTTTTAGAGATGTTTTCTTTTTGACTTTTCCTCATTCTTAGATTCATTCTGGAATATATGCCTGATACAAAATCCACAGTTCAGATATTACTCTTTTTAATGAAAAAAAGACTTCCTTTTCAAGATGTTCCTAAGCAGAGAACTATGGCTGGACATTTCGGCAAATACTTTTGCACCGTAGGTTAGCTATCTAAATTCAAAATACATCTAAATATAGCCTTAAGAATGTGGTAGACCCTATGTAATTATTCGATTTTTTCATTCTCACTGTAGCATCATGCTTTGAGAGAGGTGTTCTGCAATCTGAAAATCTAATGAAAAATATGACTCTCCTCATGCTACAATTTTTCATAAATTGACCGTATAATGGAAGGTTTTGTGTCGTTAAAGAAGAAGAGTAAATATATTTGGGTCAAATAAAAGCTCACACCATCAAACTAACAAATTTCAAATATAGACTGCTTTTGGCGTGCGAGGACGGAAATAATTCAATTTTAAAGTATTTAGAATGTTCATACAAGGTGCTCATAATACAAAATTTTCATACAATTGTTTTTGCTTCCCCGTGATGGTCGGGTAGGTCTCGGTGAGTTGCTTTAGAAAAAGTGTTTTTTTCAAATTTGCAGTAGTGTAGAACTCATTCATTCGTTACGAGTTTTAAACTTTTACTCTAGTTATAAACTATTCGAATTTTAAACTTTTATAATTCGAGTACTCGAGTTTTCACATATATGTTAAACTTGTAGCTTGAACTCGATTGAATTTTCAACTTTCAACTGTCATTCTGGATGCATGAAGACACTCACTCCACTTCTCTGTTAGTGTAGGTGCGGGATAGGGAGTCAGCTCACCTCTCTGAATGTAGGTGGGTGGAGGGGGCAGAGAAAGTCAGCCCACGTGTGACTTGAAAGTTGAAACTTGAATAGTTTAAAACTCTAGCTAAAAGTTTAAAACTCGAGCAACAAGTTTAAAACTCGTAACGAATTAGCGAATTCTACACTACTGCGAAAACGTGACCTTAATAGGTATCGACAATCGAGTTTCTAAAGAAAACATAGTTGACATTCTATTATGAATCGAAGAATATCCATTTGATGGTGCTAAACCTCGTACCCCAAACAATATATCCGACTTATTACTTCATATATGTCTGAAATGGTTTTGTTTCAGTATATCTACGTATATACACCTCAGGTTAATATTATACTTTCCTTTATGTGAAATATTCGATAATACTGTAGTATCACATGCTTCATGTTCATATCTAAGAATAGATATTCAAGTACCAATGAGAAAAAGAATGTGGAAACAGTGCTAAACTGAGTAATGAATCCGAGCTAATTCCTCATGTTTTCAACTTCCATTTCAAACACGTTCACATCTCGAAAACAACGACACTTCTTCCGCAGAAAAAATCGTAGTTCATATCACATGTGTCACAAAATATAATAATCGACATATAAAATGCGTTTTTTTGTCGTGAATGGAGCTTAGAAGAATCGTCCGATCTTCTAACATTCTGAGACTGAATATTTTCCTTTTTTTATATCGTGTGTTAAAAGGCATAAGTTAATCCAACTTACGACAAATAACTGGAAATAAAATAACTCGATGATTCCCAGAGTCTGCAACCACCAAATTTCCAAATGGATCGAAAGACATTCCTTTTGGAGTACCCATAGCAACTGATGCGACTGTTACGCCAAATGTTGCTCCGGAAGCCCATTGTTGAATTCGATCGTTACCCGAATCCAATATATAGAGATTTCCAAATTGATCAAGCGTGATTGCCGTGGGTAAATTAAATTGATTAGCAAATGCTCCTGGAACGCCCGACTGGCCTCCAACAGTAGTCCCATTGACGGCATCTGTAAAATACTCAAACATATGACATAGAAAACTTTGGAATATATTATGCTTGCTTTTCTCGAAATACTGAACGCGATGATTGCCTCGATCAACAACATATATGCCATACATTGAATCGACAAACACTCCCCATGGATTCCTAAGTTGATACAATGCACTTCCAGCAGTATTATTTCCAGCTACCTAAATCATGCAGCTCGATTAACAATGATAACCTATCGTCACTTAATAATACATACTATAGTACCAGCTGTTGTATTACCATTAAACCACAGAGTCACTCTGTGATTTGAATATTCCGAAATATAGATATTTGATTGATCATCAACATATATTGCGTAACTAGTTCCAATCTTATTCAATGTTGTACCTGATC